TATATATATATATATATATGTATGTTCTTTTATTTATCTTACATTTGCTGCAGTTACTGCTGCTGCTGCTGCTGCTGCTGCTGCTGCTGCTGCTGCTGCTGCTGCTGCTGCTGCTGCTGGTGGTGTATTACCTTTGCTTAATTCATCGAGACGACGAAATTTTGTATTGGGTGGTGTCTTGGGTATCTGTAAAAGAGGAGAATATTTAAATGGTGCTGCTGCTGCTGCTGATGCTGCTGCTGCTGCTGCTGTTGCAGCAGCAGAAGCAGCAGAAGAAGAAGAAGAAGAAGCAGTACTATTAGATCCACCACCAGCAGCAGCAGCAGCAAAAGCACGAGAATTATTACTGCAACAACTCTTATGGGCTGCTGATGCAGCACAACCACCTAAACAACGCATGCATGCATTCATTTTATTTATATTTATTTGTTTTATTTATTATAAATATATTTAATTAATTAATTAATTAAAAAAAAAAGAAGAAAAAGAAAAAAGAACAGCAAAGAAAGACGGAAACACAAGGAAGATATATTGCTGCTTCCTTATGAATTAATACATTATATTCTCATGAATTATAACAATAAATAAATAAATAAATATAAAAAGTTATTATTTATTCAATAATATTCAATTTTATTGGAATAAATATGCATTTTTATAGAAGAATGAATACTTTTTATGAGCTGCCTATACACCCGAGTGTGTATGTATTATTTATATGCATGCGCTTCCTGTATACATAATAAGAAAAAGACCCATCATTTTCTTTCTTTTTTCTTCTTTTATTCTAATTTTTGCTTTATTTTTTGTTTTTATTTCTTTATTTTAGTCTAATTAAAGAAAAAAAGAGAAAAAAGAACCACAAGAAGTGCAGTCAATACCTTCTTTCCTTTGTTTTTCTTCCTCTCTTCTTCCCGTGCAAATATATCTTGTATATTATACCTTATTATTCTTCTTTTTTTTTCCTATTTATTCTTTTTTTATTCTTTATTTATTTATTTATAATTAAATTATTCATTATTTCCTCTTTATTTCTTCTTTTCTTCCTCTTATTTCCCTCCCTCCCTTCTTACCTCCGTACCTAACTCACATCGTGCTTGTGCCCTCTTATTCGCGTGTCTGCTGCAGCTGCTGCTCCTAAGCAGCAGCAGCAGCAGCAGCAGCAGCAGCAATGCTGCAGCAAGAAACTTTATCTCGTGTACAGAGGCAACTAGATGGATTAAGTTCTGCTGATTCGTCTCCTCTTTCTTCCCCTAATGATTTCTTTAAGGATGAACCACAAGAACCTCTTCCTGCTGCTGCTGCTGCAGCAGCTGCTGCAGCAACAGCAACAGCAACAGCAGCAGATGGTGCAGCAGAATCTGCAACAGATGCAGATGCTGCAGCAGATGACGATGTAACAATAACCTCGCCACCACCAGGAGCAGCAGCAACAGCAGCAGCAGCAGCAGCAGAAGCAGCAGCAGATCCAGAGGGTGAGGAAGACTTTGATATCCATATGCTATTAAAGGAAGGAAGACGTAAACGTCGTGCTGCTGCTGCTGCTGCAGCAGCAGCAGCAGGAGGAGGACAAGAGCAGCAGCAGCAGGAGCAGCAGCAGCAGCAGCAGCAAAAGAAGCAGCAAGTTATTCTCCCCTCTGTAGATGAGGCATTAAGAGAAGGAGAAGAAAAAGCAAGAAGGAAGCAGCAGCAGCAGCAGCAAGAAGCAGCAGCAAGAGCAGCAAGAGAAGCAGCAGAAGATCTGCAGCATGTTGCTGCTGCTCGTCCTGCTAATGCTGTTGTTAACAAACAAGAAAAACAACAACAAGGTATTTATTTATTTATTTATTTATTTATTTATTCTCTTTTTTTTCCTGTATATACATACATATACATATATATGTATATAATACATATACATATACATATATATGTATACGTATACATATACACATATAAATATAAATAAAAAAGTATATATATATATATATATATTAT